ATAACAAAATTGATAAATGAAAAATTAATGTAATTAAATCGGTTTTATAAAAAATACTAAAGATAGATTACGATTACATATTGATAGACACAAATTTCGTTATCTAAAAAAGAGGTCTTTTCACTTCTACTAAGGCACATTGTCAACTAATTGAAAGCGAGAATTTTCCATATCAGTGAAAAAACACTCGTCGTACCTCTTCAAAAAAAAAAAATTAATCCAACGACTTTTATGAATTGCGCTGTATAAATATACTTGCTCTTCTTTGAAGAGAAATCTAGAATATGAATTCTTCTCATTTTTAACTGACTTCAGAAAAAGGAAAAGGTTCTCAATTCGTCTGAATATATATTTTTTTATGTATGTTCAGCGATAATTATTTACCACCTTGTCCAAATTCTATAATTCTTTTTTATTTGAAAGGGAATACCTTAAGGGCGGTCCCATATAAATTTGGTCGAGATGTGGTAATGGCATCTATGAGGAAATCAGCAAACTCCATTTGTAATGGTATCTGCACGATCTTGAAATCAATTTTTTTTAATTACTTTTATTAATTTATAATAATTATACTTCCATTAGATTAATCAGGATTGCAAAAAGGCTACAGTACCACCACATGCTCTTTGTACTTACCGGTTTAAGTAATATTGGTATTGGATCAAAGACAAGCTAAAATACCAGTGTTACTAAATAATAATAGGCGTTTATTGCCCAACAGTATAAACCATTTGCAGAGCAAATACAAAAACTTAATAAAAGTTAAATTAAATTTAAATATCAGTACAGCACTACAGATTAGTACATTAAATATTGCAAAAAAAATACCTTATTCAAACTATTTAGTTAAGAATTTAAATATAGAATAAAATAAACTCTTAATAATTATTGTAGTGTAACCAACTGAAATAAAGAGAGACAACTTAACTAATATCTCTCTCTCTCTCTCTCTCTTATATAAGAGTATGATAAATAAAGTGGCGGCGTGATCGACTATAAAGTGACTAGGACACCACGAGTGACAGATTGAAAGATTCGTTATCTATTGGCTACTTACGTGTTATTGAGGGAGTGGTAAAGGTTAAAAGAAAACATCTATTGATTTATATCTAATCTTTATTGAAAATATTAAAGATGACAGAATCAGAAAGTAAAAATTTATAAGTATATTTATAAAGATTAAATATAGGTCTGGTTCGGTGCAATAAAAAAAATAATTAATTTATCAAATGAGGGGAAAGAACCAGCAAGAAAACCCCAAAGTTATAATAAATACAATAAACCAATCAAACGTCAATTTGGATACAAATGACAAATTAAGTATATATATATAAAAAACACATTTAATTACTTGATGTTTTAGTTAAAGACAGAAAAATATATGAAATAATATTCAATTTGAGTTAAACACAGGAAAATATATGAAATAATATTCAATACGTTATTTAAAAAAACAATATCTAATACTGCAAGGCAAAAATAAAATAAATATTTTAAGAACAATAACTCATCAGATAACAAACATTGAGCATTACTAGGTTCAAACACACTCGATGCAAAACTGAAGAAGGGTTAATAGGGACAAGGTAATGGGGAAGCCCTACAGCTTTACTACCCACCTAAAGTTGAATATTCTGGTGACAAAATAGGGTAAGTTACCGAGACACCTATCCCGATGTTGTCCCAGCCACGGGCGAAAATGTTAGTATCAATCAACAAGGCATTTCATACTTTTAACTTAGATCTGCCAATACTGTGAATATCTGATGTTAGAAAAACACATCATTTACTAATATAATATTATTTTTCCCTTGCTGAACTTTAAAAATGACAAAAAAAAATAATCTCAAAGTCAAATCAAAATTATAGCAAATTTTCCTTAGTATAACTATAAAATATCAATAAACTTCAAAAATATTTAAATTAAAATATTAAAAAGGTGCTATTTTTCACTAATTTAGATAGTAAAATAAGTAATAAAATTAAATAAACTCGTTATTGGAATGCAAGCAATTTTTTTATGACAGATACAAAAAATGCTGTCAAGAAAAAGCATGAAATTTCTTATAACAGTAAAATTCAAATCTAAATAGTGAACCATCAACTAGTTAAATAATATAAAAGTAATTGAAACATAATAATTGACTTAAAAAGGCACTTACATTTTTATCACAAATAAAACTAACAAAACCTACACCTTTTTAACAATCACCGACATTCCATTCTCTCTACGTTCAAAATCTGACATTCAATAAAATAATTCCCGTTCCTATGCGATGATTCCCTGCTTCTATTCCAGCGCATCCACGACTTTGGTTCCTGGAATTTACCGCGGTCAAAAGCGATAGAATAGGTGGATGCTTTATATTGCCATTCAACGGGGACGGAATTAAATACGATCCCTTTCATTATTATTAGCAAAATAATGTTATACCTACTAAAAAGCAAAAAAGCCAAAAAACAAATAAATAAACTAAAGGTGTGCACGAGCTTTGTTTTTTAGTTCATATACGGTACAGCAAAAGATATCACAAAATTTAGATATCTTGTTAGCATTACTACACATAAAATTTATTGGAGATTTTTGCATTAAATTTGTTTGAACTCTTTTACATTGAAATGGTATATTATGCCTAGAAGTCAATCTAGGAACTTGAAAATCAATCTTATATAACAATTCCGAGCTATCAACTTTATTATTTAAGAGTTTATGTAAGTATAAAACAGAACCATGCATGCTACGTTTTTCTAAGGAAACAAAATCAATATTATTTAATATAATATCGTAGTCCATACTTTTAATAGGATAAACTCCATCAATTTTAAATTGTAAAAATTTGAGAAACCTCTTTTGGACTTTTTCAATCAATATCATACACTGAAAATATATGGGACTCCAAATTAAAGATCCGTATTCTAATTTAGATCTAACCCAGCTAAAGTAGAGATATGTTAAAGTCGAAATATTTCTAAAGTTTCTACAGTTTCTCTAAATGAATCCATATGCACGGTAAGCTAAATTAACTATTTGGTTGATATGATTATTAATCGTTAATTGGCTATCAAAAATAATTCCAAGATCCCTGATATTTTTAGTACGTTCCAGTGTTACATTGTTAATCGTATATGGGTAGTGTATAGTATTGGATTTGCGTGAAAAAGTTATTACTTTACATTTATTAATATTCAAATATAATCTATTTTTAAGGCACCAATTTTCTAAATAAATCAGCTGATTTTGTACCACACAATTATATAAAGTAGAAATAAAAGCGTTTAATTTGAAGTAATCAGCGAATATTAATTGGTTAGTATTAATTTCATCACACAGGTCATTAATAAATAATAAAAAAGAGCAAGGGACCTAAATTAGATCCCTGAGGAACTCCACTAGCTGCTATATAGATACTTGAGCAGAATCCGTTTAAGTTAACAAATTGCTTTCTTTGGTACAGATAAGATCTAAATAATGAAAGGTACATATCATTGAAGCCTAAGCATTGTAGCTTTTTAAGTACCTATTACATGACTGATTTTGACGAAAGCCTTGAAGAAATTATTATACACCGCATACTAAAGCATTTGATACTTTAAATCACTTTAATTTTTAAATGCAAGGAATATTTTTTTCTGAAAAGTCACTATTTTTTTAAAAATATATCTTAATGATCATTTGAAAAAAGTTCTAATAAAGAGTCAGTCGTCAGGTTTCTATAATTTCATTCAGGAATATGGCAGGGTTCCACTCTAGGGCCTCTGCTTCTCGTCATTTATACATCTGACTTAAACAAACAAATATAAATGTGCAAGGTCTAATTTTAGGCGACGGCCGACAGGTACCGATAGGTACATGTTCCTATTATACTTTGTTCACAACTCATTGTAAGGTATAATTTTCGCGTTGAAAATTCGTACCTGTATTTTGTCGGTTAATATTGTGAGGACTGGTGAACGAGACAGCAATGGGGTCTATACAAAATACATTTTTTATTCGAATGTGACATAAAACGTCGTTTTTGGACAGAAAACAATCGAAAAGAAGAACTTTTAAATATACAACAAATTAACTACTAAAAAGTACTTTTAGGACCCAGACCGCAAAAGTAAAGCGATACCGCTATCTAAACAGCCTGTTATATTTTTGATTTATATTTTAATATTGCTGGCGATATTTTTTTGCTATTGTAAAATAGTAGTCCATAATCTAATTGTTCATCAAAATAAATAGAAATATTTTTAATCGAATAAGAGAAAAACTAAATAAAGTATAATTAAATCGATTTGACATATGCACACTAATATGACAGCAATTGTTCAAATGTTATCAACAATATACCTACCTAGTCATTCTTATCGATCACAGCCATCTCAGCTATAAGAAAAATATAAATAATATTGTGGCGCGGAACCAACACCGGCATGTTCTAGGTATGCAACTGACGATTCGAGAAACTAGCGGAGTGAGTCATAGAGAGGCAGTTTTCGATTATTGTGGAAACCCGAGAGTATTCTCGCATAGAGTTGGACTTTATATAAATAGCGCGAGTGGTCGACGGACGAAGCAGATTGGATTTAAGTGTTGGACTGAACAGATAAATTGTAATAAATAAATTAGAATTGTGAGTTAGTGTCTAAGTATTATATAAATTACCTAATTAGTACATCATAAATAAATTGTATATAGTGTGTTTTAAATAAATAAACTATAAATAAATTAAACAAACGTAACAATATTATTTGGAATTAATTTTACTATATTTTTTTAATATCTATAAGCAAATTTAAATAAAAAATAATGTATGAAACACGGACGAAAAGTGTATTTTCGGACTGCCAGACTCAACTACATCTCGCCTGGCAAACTTCTCGTAGTCGCCCGTAAAACTTAACTTTTCATCCTTATAACATAAACTAGCATTATTGCACAGAATTATTACTTTTCTGTAAGCTTATGTGTGACTTTTAATACTAGTTATACAAAAAATAATTTTCTTTTGCAGGAGCTGCACACAAGCCTGCTACCAATCACCACGTTGTCCGTACTAACGTCCGGTTTGATCGTCATTTTGCTGGCGTCCCAATTTCCGCCCGTTTTGGAATCCGAGGCGTGGGCCCTTCTATCGTCTTTGCTAGTTACGACGGGCGTCGCGGCGGCGATGCTGCTGCTGGCCGGTCGACACGCGCCTCTGCCTCTCTTCGCGCTGCTGATCGCCATACACACGATGATGCCGCTGTCCAGAGCCGTGGCGTTGGCTTTGGCCACTATCGTTACCGTAGCTCATCTGGCGACTTCCATAGCTTATAGGTTACAAGATGGGGATGTCGTTCACTACTTGCAGGTAAGTTTCGGAAGCGTCTTAACATAGATGTTTAAACAAGATAGTGTTTACAACATGTTTAAAGCCAACATGAGTTCACAATATAAACGTCCTCTTGGTAGAAATGCAATATTTTGATTGAACATTAAAGCCAAGTTTACGGTACATTAGTAATTATCTCACAATACTGTGAGTCCTTCAAATTATCGGAAGAAATTTTACGGCTGACAACAGCGCAATGACAAGAAACTAAATTTGCAAAAGAGTTCTAAATCCGTTGCATTCATAATGTAGTTTCGAAAATTGTTTATCGCAGCCATTTTAATTTTTGATATATGTGTAAAATTCACTTTACAAAAATTCAAATTGTTTGTGTGATTAAATGCTACATACATGTACCAACTTATTTCAGCAGTGTTTTGTATTTACATTCTGATATTTCGTTCCATAGTTAAGTTGATTTTGTAGGTTATAATTTGCACCATAGACGTAACAAAACAAATTTAAGTATGTCGTTGTTTAACATTTTTAAAAATTAAAATGTAGCCTATAGCCGTAGTTTTATGCTACTTTAATATAAAACAAATAACTACTTCTATTCCATTAGAGTAAAGTGATTTTAGAAACTTCTTTATTTTCTTTAATTTAATACCCGGATGTTCAATCACTTCCCTTTATTTACTTTGGAAAATCCAATCCTTTAGAAATTGAACTAATTATCTGAGACTACTCCAATCTAGAGCAGATCAACGATTTTATTTTTATTGTCATCCTGTCTAGGTACTTTTCTCAAAACTACCCGATTTATAGAGAGTAATCAAATTGAAATAGTTCAGATATTACTGCGTATATATGTAGTTAGAGAGCAATTTACTTTTTATAGTTTAATAATTTGATTTGAGATTTTATGTTTGAATTGGTTTGGTATTGGCAGTCGATTTAAAATGTTATTAAAAGTACATTAAGTTTCTTTAAATTGAACGTAAAAGTACATTTTAGAGGATTGCCCTACTTTCAGTAATCAAAGAATCCTAAAGGAAATTGTGGAAGGGTTAAAATCGCCTTCAACTCCGTATTTGGCATAATTTCGAAGGAAAAACATATTTTCTTAAGCACTGATAACCGATATTTAATAAAGTTGTAATACAAAATTCAGTTGGTGATGGACACAAAAACAAGTGTTCAATGTGATCTCCACCTTCATTAATGGTTAGTGGATTTTATTTGTGCAGTAACTGTAAGTGTTCTGCCCTAATCGCATTTGATTTATTTAGTGAAGATTCAAATATTTCAGTGTAGAAAAAATGTAACTGTTTTATTTACATACAAACAAACAAACACTGAATCTACACCACTACACTGACTTTCAACGGCAGTGTAACTCAGTGTAGCTCTCAAGTGTGTGATAATTTTCACTAAATAACATACAAAAAAAATAGGGGATCTTTTGTGTTCATCTTCTTCATCTGAAGAAGATGAAGTATTAACGGAAATTATTTTTTAGAAAGAAGAAAATTAAGCAACTTGATAAACTTCATTGAATATATGATAATTGATCAATACAACGATGAATAGGTAAGTTTAATCTAGAAATAAAATTGTACCAAAAATGTAAAATGTAAAACCAGCTGAATTTGAGTCAATTTTAAAAATCGATAGCTAGATGTCTACGAAAAACACAAACACTAATTTTACTTAAAATTTACAGGTGGGCAAGTATCATTGCAAGATCACGTTCGATTTAAAAGTATTGCACTTACACCAAACCATCACGAAATATATACTTTGACAGTTTGAATACAGTATCGAGTGTGACACTAGTGCAACAAATAAAATCCATTATTAGTTAGTTACTAACCAACTGTCAGGTGGAATTTATTTACTAACAAAGTAGTGAATGTCAACTGAAATGTCACAAAAAATGTCACCAAAAATCGTTTAAGAATGAGCTTCATTCTTCAACGATTTTGCATGCGAGAATGTGACATTCTTACGCCAAAATCGAGAAAACCCTTTTACAATTTCCTTTGGGTTTCTTTAATTACTGAAAGTACGGTAATCCTCTGAAATGTTCTCTTGCCAAATTTCTTTAAATTTGTTTCACAAATTTCTGAACAACTTACAAAAATGTGACTTTTTTTAGTAAACTTTAAACTCTTATCACACCCCCACTTTGGTATATATACACAGGGCGTTTCAGTTTCATAATAAAGAACCGTAAACTGGGGGACTTGTAGATCTTAACTAATTAAAGAAAAACTAAATATAATTTTTCTGTGAACGTCCCAATTTTCATTCTCAGGGTGAATTTCATAAATACATAATTTTCTAAATATCTTCCCTTACGGTAAAGACTTTAACCTAAAAATATGTACTTGTTAGTTTATCACCATTAATTATTAATAAACTTTATTTGGATAAATTACGATAACCTATATCACCCTATATTTCATAAAAGTTAAGATTAATAATTATTCCTCTCGCATTTTGTCACAAAAAAGGGGCTATTGGTTGATCTTTGTAAAACATTCCATTTCCGAGATTTTTTAGTTTTATCTACTCGCACATGACAGCTATGTACATTATGAAATTTTAATTAAGGGCTGATTTCATAATCAATATTAAAAGGTCGATTAACTAATGGGACCACTAATTCCATAAGATCCTTAATGGACCTTTTAATATTCATTATGAAATCGGCCTTTGATCAAAACAAACCTGAAAAAAGAATTGAACGGTCCTTGGTTGTGAATAGGGAAACAAAGAAAAATAAAAAAATAGGGTGTGCAATAAGTAGATCGGATTTTCTTTCGTCACGTTTTTTTCGAATAACTTTTTGGCTCGTCCATTTCGAAAAGATTGCTTTTATCGGTTGCTTATGTCTTTGTTTTTATTCGATATCAATAACTGGAAAGATTGTATTCCATGTTATTTTCATTCTGGGCATGGATCCCAAATCTGTTATACGTGATGCGAGCATCAAACGATTTTCTATTAAATAAAACCTTTTTATCCCTATTCCAGATATATATATTTAATGAATACTGCTACTTACTACTTATAAAAAAACTAAGCTACCAGAAATAACAACAAATTTGTCATACGTTTTTAATAGCTACTGGTTATATATAAATTAAATATCTTAAATAAGGATTATACAATTTCTGCAATATATTGTAGGAGATAATATATTCATCAAATATCGAATGAAATACGAGTTTTATTTTTAAATTGAAGGCGCTACTCATAACTCCTGATAATCAGAAAAAATCAGTCATTAATACTCTTTGGTTATTAATTTTTTAATTTAGGGGAGAGGGGGGACATTGGGACACTACAAATATAATTAGCTGTGTATAGCTTGACTTTCAATATATTGATCACATAATGTTATGTTGTTGCCACTGATAAATGTACTATCTATCTCCATAGATTAGATTTAGATTAGATTAGGAGTTGCACGTTATTTGTCCTTGTCCACCGCGACCTTTTCAGATCTATTGTGGGACTCCGTTTGTTTTAGAGTATGTCGTCTAACCTGGTCTTTTTTATTAGACTTAGTAGCTTTGACAGTGGCTCCCGCATGTAGTTGCACGCATTTGGCTTTTCTTCGCCCAATGTTAGAAACCTCATTCCAGCCAGGCCTTCACATTGGCACAGGACGTGTAATGATGTTTCCTCTTCTTCTTCACAGAACCTGTACAAAGTTGCTTCTTCTGCTGGATTTATGACATTCATGTGCCTTTTGAGGCGACACTGTCCAGAAAGAAGGCCTACTGTTATCCTAACGATTTGACGCTTTTGATCCAGTAGGTCTTTCGTGAACTTGGCCGATGGTTCCTTGATGAACTGTTTGGCTTGTCTCAGTCTTGGATAGTTGTTACACCATTCCTGAGACACTTTTTGCATCCATTGTTTAATGGATGCCTTACACAATGCCTTAGCAACTCCAAAGAAGGGTTCGGGGCCTGTCATGGCCTTATCTGAGTCTTCTCGGGCTAATTCGTCGGCCTTTTCGTTGCCTTTATATCCCTCATGGCCTGGAACCCAGGCTAGGGTCACCTTATTTTGACCACTTAGCTATGTCAGGTCTTCTAGGCAGTCTTTCACCAGTCGTGATCTCCATAGGTTTAGCGATTATTCTCTGATCGATGAATTAGATTTTTGCAATTTTCCATATATCCAAATTGTCCAAATGTACCCTTGGCTGTGGTAGATGTGGACAGTGTAGGGGCAGGTGTGGACAAAAACAATTTGTTATGTTCTAAAAGTTTTAGTCATATTTATTTGGTAAATAAAGCTGGAACAATCAAACACAAGTCGCATAAATAGTAAAAAATGTAAAAAGGCATAGTTATACACAATTTTTTTTTAGAAGAGTTGACGTTATAGGCACTGAAGTCTACTTAAAATCACTTTATTGAATTTAACCTTGCAGTTGTTTCAGACGTTCTTGGCTTAGGTAGTTTTAGTTCCACTTGTTTCAATTCTATTAGGTCCTTATCAGTGACTTGGGGAAAGGTAAATCTATTTTCTTTCTTAGAAAATTTGTTAAATATTTTCCGTCGACTATTTCTTCCACTTCTCTAATATAATACTTTTGGGTCTTCTTCATGCAATACTTTACCAGCAAAATGTCACCGATTTCGATATTTGGCGTCCCAGATTCAGGATCTATGATAGGTTCTACGTCTGCATGAATTCTTGGTCGGAATTTTCATGGTCCATTTCACTTCAACAGTCAGATTCATCATCAGCGTAGATTACTTCATCCCCGGAATCATCTGAATTATTTGCTTGTTGTTTTACAATATTAAACAGATTCTGTTTGACTTGCTTCTTCTTTTGCTTGGCTATCTTTTCTTCTTCTAGTCTATCTTTTTCTGGCTTCTCTGTTAGAATTCGTGATTTTATAGGCCGTCTTCCTTTTAACTTTAATTTATTTTTCTCTGCTGTAATGAAGTTGTGTGTATGTTTTTTCTGAAGCCCTTGAATCTGCACGGAAAAAAATTGTAGAAGAA